CCGCCGCTCTGCCTGTCCCCGCGCCAGCGCCGGCGCCGGCGGCGCCCGTGCCCGCGCCCGCGCCCGCCAAAGCGCTGCCCTGCCCCTGCAGCCTTGCCAGCTCGGACGCCGGCAGCGCCGACGTGGGCACAGCCACGAGCGTCACGCCGCAGGGGATCCCTTTCAGGACCTCCGTGCCCACCGGCTTGCCCGCGCACGGCCAGTTGAGGGTCGTTTTCGTCGCCGCATAAAGTGCTGCCTTGTCGGCCGCCAAAAAGGCGACCTGCGTGTCCCCAATCACGGGAAACCCCTGGTTCGCGCCGCCGCTGGCCGCGCCGGGGACGGCGGTGATCGTGCCGTCCGGGTTGGTCACAAGCTGGACTCCGGCCGGCTTGGCCGCACCCGCCGCCGCGCCTGCGCCTGTCCCGGCCGCCGCGCCGGCGCCTGCGGTGCCTGCGCCCGTGCTCGTGCCCGTCCCCGCCGCCGCGCCGCCGCCGCTCACGACCGTGCCGCCGTTGGTGATGGTGGAGCCCTGGGGCAGCACGTCCCCCGGCTTCAGCGTCGATATGTCGATCGGCTTCCCGTCCGGCCCCGTTATCACCGTGCCCGGCCCGATGACCGTCCCGGACGCGATGCCCGAGCCCGCGCCGCTGTCGCTTACGATCACGCCGCTGCCAATGCCTGAAACCAGCGGCGTGCTGTCCATCCCGATCACCGTCGGGCCGCTGACAACCGTGCCCGCGCCTGCAAAGCCGCCAAAGAAGCCGCCCTTGCCCTTGCCTGAGCTGACATAAGTGACCGTGTTGGTCTTCACGGGCACGTACGTCACTTTCTTGACGGGCACAGTCTCGACCACCGGCTCCTGTAAGAGCAGCAGAAGACAAGGGGGGCCGTAGCGGCGCGATTGGTATCGCCTCAGCGCGGCATTTGATTTATTCTTGAGGGCCCGCAGGGCCGCGGCGCCGCAGCGACGCCGGGGCCGCGGCAGCATGCCGCCGAGCCGCGTCGACGCGCCCCACCGGGCGCGTTCAACGCGCGGTCAGCGCATGCCGGAGCGCCGCTGCCGCGCACCTTGACCGTGACCTGCTGCTGCACGATGCTCTTCTGGGTCGTCACTGTGGGCTGCTGCACCACGGTGTTCTCGGTGACGATCTGGGGGCGCTGCACGGTGACGGCCGCCATGGTGGTCACGGGCGTGGTGATCGTGCGCGGGACGGTGACGTAATCGACGGCTGTCGTCACGACGGGCTGCATTACAACCTGTATAATACGTGAGTGTGTGTGTGTGTGTGTGTATTTGTGCGTGTGAGTCAGAGTATGTGTATGAGTATGTGTGGGCACAACAAGTGGTAATGCTGAAATTTCAGTGCGAGGTGTGCTTGATTGGCTGCTTGCAATCAAGAGGCCAATGCCAGGTGGTCAGGAGCTGTTTGCTGTTCAGTCGGCCAGGTGCGCTGGGTGAACCCCTGCAGGTGCAGGCCCGTCCCTGGCCACAAACGCAGCCAGCTGCAGCAGCCTCCGACCCCATGCTAAAAGTGACTGTGGCCGTGCAGCAATCCGCAACAGCCAATGCTCGTAGCGGTGCACTAGCCTCCAGGCCGACGGCGCCCGCCGCCACGGGCTGCAGCTTGCGCGCCGCGCCCGAAGACTGGCCTCCCAGATAACCCCCGCCCCGCGGCCGGCGGCGGCGCGCCCCTCCTCCCGACGCGCCTGCGGGTTGTCCTGGAAGTTCGCGGAGATGCCTTTGCCCTTGCCCTTGCCTCCGAATCCGATGTTGAAGCTGGGCTTGTTGACGACCGTGGGCTGCGGAACGCACGCGTTGTGTGCAGCATGAAGATATCGGTTGTGTCAGGCCTGGGCCAACCCCCGAGGAGCCTGCCTGACCGGGGACACCCACCCCTGCCTGGCGCAGCAGGAGCTCGCGCTTGCTCCCAAGGCCTCTTGCTCCTGCAATGCGCAAGGCGTGGCTGACAAGCGCCCCGTCACCGCCGCGGCTCGCCAGCCCCCCCCCGGCAGCCATTCCCCACAGACGGAGCCGCCGCTCCCAGGCCCAGCGCCACCCCGACACTGCCCGGCCGCCCGCCGCCGGCGCCATCGCGGCCCGGCAGCTGCCGCAGCGGGGCCGCCGCGTGCGCATGCTCCGCCCGCCGGCGCGCGGTGCCTCACCTGGGTCGTCAGCACCGGCCGCGCGACGGGCCGGGTGTCGTACACGACTGACGTTCGGTACGTCGTCTGCGGCTGCTGCACCACCTGATCCCGCATCACGACCTTCTGGGTCTGTTGCGGGGCAGGTTGGAGCGAGTCGCCGGGGTGTTACGCGATTCAGGGCCCAGTTGTGGTTGCGAGGGCGGCAGGGTGCAAGGGGAGTGCAATCCAGGCGTGGGCCCCAGAAGCAATGGCCACCCTGGGTGGTGTCGTATGCCGCCGCGCTGGCGGCCACTGTGGCTAGTCGATGTCGGCAGCCAGGCAACGGCCCCAGTCCCAAAGCCAAAGGCGGCCCGCGGCCGTGCGGCCGGCCGGCAGCGGGCCGCCGTGCGGTTGGCCGCACGCCGCCATCTTTGCGTGGGCGACGCCAGCGCTTTGGATTACTCAGGGATGAGCTCACCTGCACCACGACGTTCTGCGTTGTCACCACAGGCGTCTCCACCACCTTTTGCTGGGTGACTACCTTGTCCTTGTAAGAAGTCACCTGCACATGCGCCATGCAGCCGCAGAGCGAGGGCAACGGGTTGCGCGCAGGGGCGGAGGGGGCGGCGGCGATCACCACGGCGGCGGCAGCTGCGCGTCGCACACCGACACCGTATCGCAATTCGCGAGCCAGGCGGCGTGCGCGGCACCGGAGACCGAGCGCACATTGCCACCAGCGCCGCAACCGCCGCACCTGCATCATCTCTGTCGTCTCCTGGGGCACCAACGTGGTGCCCTTGCCATACACTGGGGTGACAACCTGTGCTGGCATGACATCCCCCTTGCCCTTGCCTAGCGGGAGGAGAAAAAGTCTTCTTCTCAGAGTGCGTGCTACATGACTGGTGGGCTCCCAGGCTGTCGCGGAGGAAAGCTCCAGTTCGCTGCTAGGGTCGAGCGGGTGTGCAGCTGCTGCCATCGCCAGGGCCCCGGCGAGAACCGCCAGGGCCAGACCAATTCGTCTCATTGCTTAGAACGGCAGGCTGCTGCTGCCCTGGCAAAACGGAGTTTGATGCAATGATGCCGGGCCAGCTGGTGCGCCGGAACGGTAACAGCGAGTGACTTACAGATAGAAAGGTGGGAATCAGACAAGTAGTACTAATTTCTTGCCACGCTTGAACAGAGCTGACAGCCCGGCGCCACATTGGCGGCACCGCACCTATGGCACCCAGTGACGAAAATGTGGAGCCAACTCCGGCTTGCAGATGGTCTGGCCACTTCCCGGCTTCATGCACAAATTCATATAGCTACTGAGGGCCTATAAATATCCATGCCGCTCCCCGTTATGCCGTTCAGAGAAAGGATAGGGCCCACCGTTACTACCTGCTGGGCATCGCCGCAGTCCCAGACAGCCCCCCCCCCACACACACACATGCACGCACTCGCGCGCGCGCACACGCACGCACGCACGCACGCACGCACAGCCCTATGAGTCGGCCTTGCTGCCTCCTTAGTCGCAACCTGTCGCCAGTGTGCGCCTGTCATACTCGGCAGGGACCATCACGATTCGCACACCCGAACTGCTCGCCCCCACTCGCTCGCCGGCATGCTCTTCTGCCCCTGCCTATTAATGCCACAGCACCGCAAATGCTGGACAGCGCCCACAGGTCTGCCTCGACATGACCCCAACATATTCAGTGCTAATGCTGCCCAACATAGCGCCCCCTCCCACGGGTCGCAGAACAGGGGACAGCCGCCCTCTGACACGGCCACTATGCCCAGTTTAGTCCTGTCACCTGTCCACCCCCACATTTATTGGCCCAGGCGTCTGTGGAACTCAGGAGTGGGGTTACAGCGGGGCCCGCGCAAAATTGGGGGCGCCTGCGCTGTCGCGTCTTCGCACTGCTGCCTTTTTTCAGGCACGCGCGGCGCTGCCGGGCCGAGGCGGTGCCGACGGGTGGGCGGGTGTGCCCGCCCGCCGCCCTGCTTGGCCATTTGCACTCTCTTGCGCTGCATCCACAAGTGATAGTGTTCAAGCAGCCACTGGGGCCGCGTATCCCTCATCGCTCTGCACCTAGAACAACAGACTCTGTGAGTCAAGGCACCCCCCGCCATGGCACCCGTCAATCGGGGCCTGCATTGCGGTCCATGCCGTGCCGCGCCCTAGGGCTTTTCGGAACCGACAGGCATGCGCTGTGTGGCGGACCGGGGGTGTTGGCACGCATGTGAGCGCGACGGCAACAAAATGGCGGGTTTCCCGGTAGACGCGGCCTCAAAACTGGCTCGCGACCCTCGACATGCCAACTCGGCCCTGGTTTCGGTCTCTCTCTCAAACACCTCACACTTTGTAACCTCAAGATCTGGTATTGATCTGTGATCTGATTATCATATCACCAGATCACTCGACCTTCTGCAGGTCCCCGAGAAACGAGGCGCCCGCCAGCGCGCCGGCCCCAGCCAGCGCCAGGGTGGCGGCGCCGGCGGCCTGCGCCACCAGCTGGCTGGTGGTCTCGTCGGGGACCAGGTAGACCACCGCGGCGGCGGCCGCCACCAGCAGGTACCCGACGGCGCCCAGCACGCCGGGGGTCGACCTGCGCGCGTGACGGGCGGGGCGGGGCGGGGCGGGGCGGAGCAGGTCAGCGTCCACGGGGCGACACTCTTGCTGTCATTCCTCTCACCAAGGGGCCAGGGCCTCCAATTGTTCGGCCCTGGATGCGGCCCCTGAATCCTGTGCTCAGCATCTGCACGCGTGCCGCAGGCCTGTCGGCCTGCCCAGAGCCCCCGCCCCCTCACTTGTCGGCGGCGACGCTCAGCAGGCCGGACTGCTCCAGCTGCACTAGCAGGCCGGACTCCTCGATCTTGGACAGCGTCAGGCCGGACTTCTCCAGCTTGGAAAGCAGTCCGAGCTCCTGGACCTTGGACAGCAGGCCAAGCTCCTGGACCCTGCAGGGTGACAAGACAACGGGTGGGTGTCATTATGGGCAGCTAACGGGCAGCGAGAGCACGTTGCAGCAGCGGGGCGCAATGTGGGGGCTGCGCAACGTGGGGCGCCACCGTCAGTGCGCAATGCACAGGCGGGCGCTGGACGCCGTTGCAGAACTGTGCAGGCATGGGGCCTTCAGGCTGTGGAATGCAGAGACAGCTGCAGGTTGGACTAGGGGCAGGGGGCGCGGCGGCGGCAGCTGCGTCAGGACTCACTTGGCCAGGACGGCGAGGCCACTGCCGGAGGTCTGCAGGGCAGAATGTGGGGTGTATGAGGGCGCGGGTGCGGGTGTTGCAGGGTTCGAGGGCCGCTGGATGGGCACGCCCCGGGAAGCGGCCCGCCAGCCACAAGATTGGTAATGCCTGCGCAAGCCTCGAGGTGTCCCCTGGTGGGGATGGATTGCTCAGAGTGGGGATCCACCACGGTCACAAGGTGTGAACCCTCACCTTGGTCGTGGCCACCTTGGTGGTGCTCTTCGGGGTCTTGACAGCCGTCCTGGCGACCACAGACACGCTGCGGGCGCGGCCGGCGGCCGCGGCGGAGGCGTTGCGCTGCATGGTCTGCGGTGGTGACGGGCCGGGGCGGCGCACGCGGCGCAGGGGTGGTTGGCAGGTATGCCGTTATTTTGGATCCGCAGCGGAATCGTTGATGTCAGTTCATTGGAGTCGAGTCGGCCGAAGCGCATAGCTGCGAGAGGTCCCGAGCAAAGGTAGCTCAAGCGCGCTGAACACCAAGACGGCATGCTGGCATCCTGGCACCAAATCAGGGATGCATATGCAATAGATAAAACGCGATTGCACCGGTGGGATCAAGGTCAGTGCCAATGTGCGCGCAGAGTCAAGGCGGGCTGCGCGTTGCGTTCTCACCAGGGCCATTGTTATGCTGTTGATCGGCACGGCTGAGCAACACGAAGGACGCAAGAACAGCTGGCGGGATACGTGTGGCAGGCGGCTTTGTGCGCCTCGGCAACACGCTTCGCCCTGCCTGCCGAACTGCTGCCGAACAGGACTGCGAGTGGCCGCAACGTTTTCAGTGTCGCGGCAGCACTGCGCCTCACATGAAATCGCCTGTTTGCTCGCATATCATATGGCAGTATGGCAGATGCGTCCCTGGGACCACAAAGTGCAGAGTGGCTTGCTGTTGCTCGGGTGCAGCTCATCTATGCTCCGGCACAACCTCCTTGCTCTCTCTCTCCTTCTCTGTATCAATGCGTCCAGGCCCCCATGCAGCCCTGCATGAGGAATCCAGAGGGGTTCAAAATAACAGGGTGCATGACGCTTCAGACGGATCAAAACCAACTTTGTCGACTGGATCACAGGAGACACCGTCACAGAGCGCCCATTCAGCTGCCTGGGCTCAAAACAAGCACAACCATGAATTAAAGCCCCCGACAATGCAAAGTTTCAGGGTTGATGCAAGCTTGAAAGGGCTACCCCGGCATGCACATATGCATGTCTACTCGTCACTGCTGGTCAAGGACAGAGGACAGCGCTATGGATGCATCACCCACGCGAGGGGCGGCCGCCCGGGCTTGCCAGCTCCCCACCACCCTCCCCGCCGCGGCCGCGCAACCGCCGAGCCGGCGGCCCGCGGTGCACGTGCGCCCGCGGCTGGAGGAACGCGCCCGTCGCGCCTTTGGGCAGCAGCCCTGCGGCTGCCGGCTCTTGTGCGACCGACTGCGCCACAATCTCCCCTCGCTCAAACGCCGCGGCTGCGGCCAACGCGTCTGATGCCACCATCGTGGCGTTGTCAATTTTCGTGATCCTGCACATTTGACAAAGGGAGGAGGGTGAGCCACACGGGTGTGAGTACAAGCTGCTCCCAGACCACGGGGTCAGGGTCCACAAAAGACGCTACCACTGGGAAGTCCAAGGCAGCGTTTCACACAACATTGTCCGCAACAGAGCCACCATGCGCCCGCCCATCCGCTGGCTTCCCACCCCCACGGACACGCCACCTGCGGGCCTGCACAAGCGACCCTGGCCAGCTGTATCTACGCTCATTCGCCGCCGGCACTCACCACGCGCCCCATGGCTTGGCGGCAGTGCCTGCGCCCACGTATGGCGCGCACATGAAGAGCGTCTCGTCGATGACATCAGCAGTGGTGTACGACCCCCAGGGCAGCACGGCGGTGGCCCCAACGCCGACGGCGCCGGTGCCTTGCTTTGCGGTGTTGATGTGGGCTTCGAATGAATTGGAGTTTTCAAGGATTCGCGTGAAGCCGATGCCTGAAATGGCGGCAAGGGGTCAGGGTGGGGTGGGTGGATACGACAGAGTGGCTACGAAATCTCATGCATGGGAGCCCTGGTGAGGAATGCAGCTATTGAAAAATATGGCCCACGTTGTCCCCTGACCCCCCCCCTGCCAAGCCACCCGTCAACATCCACCCGTCCACCATCCAACTCAAATGCAATCTGATCACCCCACGAGGCGGCCAGGTATTACCGGCAAACCTCCGTGCCAAGCCCAGCGCCCCGCACCTGCGGGCGTGCTTGACCCTGACAGCACGTACCCCACCCACACCACGCCGCTGCCGGCGACCGCCACCGATGGGTACGCCAGTGACAGCTCGTTGGTGGCCCACAGCTGGTCGCTGGCCTGCAGGCTGGCGCGCCCGGCGAGCTCGCCGCTGCTGGGCAGCGCGATGCGGCCCCAGTACACGCCAGAGTGGCAGCCGGTGGCGAGCTGGCGGGCCACCAGGTTCACGAGCCACTTGCCGTCCGAGGGGCGCAAGGAAAGGGACGCCTGGCCAGGAGGGGGAGGGGTGTGTGGTGGCGGCGCGGCGTGCGAGTTCAAATCCTCGCCGGCGTGCGCGCCGTTGACGGAGTGCGGTCACACATGCGCATGTGTGTGAAGTTTGCTGCCGTGCGCGCTGGCAGCGTCCGCATGCAAGCGCCTCGCATGCTCATCTGGGTCTCGTGCGCCTCTTGCAACTCACAGCGACCGCCCCCTGCCATAGACAGTAAACCCACCCCATAAGTGACGTCCAGCGCCCCCGCCGCCAGCGGCGGCCCCGACGCCGGCTGCCGCAGGGTCGTCCCGCCGCCCGCCACGTCGCACGCCTCCAGCGGTATCCCGCGGTCCACCGCGGCCTCGCACAACCCAGGCTTCACGTCTGACGTCATGCTGACACCCACCAGGCTGGCCAGGTTGACGAGCGCGTACACGGCCAGCAGATTGACCGGCGACCCGACGCTCGCCCGCTGGCCAACGAACACGGCGGCGCCGCGGACGCCGCCGAACGCGTAGTCGCGCGCGTGCTGCGGGCGCGCGGGGGTGAGGTGGCTGACCCTGTCGGGGGGCGGGGACCAGTAGGGGACCCAGTTGATGTTGCCGAGGGTGGAGGTGTAAAATGCCGCCTGCGCGGGGGAGGGGCGGAGG